CGTTTTAGGGGGGCGTGGACGAGTCTTAACTTTTATAAAGAATATCTCTTTGGTTTTGAGACTTTAGTCTTTGCAACTTCAGGGATCTTATCTATTCACGAACAGCTTGTAACACTCCAAAGAGAAAGGAAAACTGGAAATCGCATCATATGACCCCTTTAAAGTAAAAGACCTTTTATTATAATTGTAAATGCATCCATCTTTAGGTTGTGGTACGTTTCTTTTTTATTTTTATAATGTAAATGTAAGAACAACTTAAAATATGTATATGTAATATATGTATTATACTTGATTTTCCATAATAATTTTTTTGAAAAATCATGTAAAATTTGAGTCAAATATAATCCATCAGGCTTTTGAGGAATATTTATTTTTAAATCTCCCATAATTGCATTGCATTATATGTTTTGCCCCACAATAAAAGAAACTAGAGCTTTGAACATGCATTCATACTTCATCTTATTAAAGGGGTGGTTCACTGGGTTTTTTTCTAGGCTTGATTGTGTTTAGATATTGTTTATGCTCAAACAGCAACATTACACACTAACTAACGTTAAAAAAAGTTAAATCACAATGAACCACCCCATTTAGACACATTACCGGGAGATATAGAGAGACAACTCATATTTATATGCATTTTATGCAAGTAGTTTGTTATACTGTTATTAAGACCTCATTGATTATCATTGAAACAGAATTTCATATTACTTTTTGGCCATATAAATATCAGCAACTGCAGCAAATTGCATATTTTTGCTCAGTTTGGGCTTCTAAATTAAAATGTTTTTTACTTATTTTAGTTTTATTTATTTTTTAATTGTAACGGTTTAGTGTACTTATGCATAAAATACTGTTTTTATATATTTTGTCCATAAGTGTTTTGTATCATATTTGATACATAGGGATTTTATGGTCCATATAATACGGAACCAAATAAATAAATTTGGACTATTTCATGACAGGCATGACAGTAGGGCTGCACGATAAATCGCATGCGATATTTAACGCGCATCTTGTCAGAAAGCGGTTCTGTAATCAGCGGTAAATCTCCATCACGTGCGTGCTTTCACATTGAGCAGCATTA